CCTCATGAGAGCATTAAAAGCATTCTCATTAAAGTCAGGAGCAAGACAAAGATGTCCATTAGCACTGCTCTTTTTTTTTTTTGTCTTTTTTCCGTGTCCGGCAATGGATCGCAACCCTCAGTGTCGCTCCCGCACCAGACCGGGACTGGCAACGGGATCGCAACCCTCAGTGCTGCTCCCGCGCCTCGCTCAGCCAGTGAGCGGGAACCGGTCTGTATGTGGGATCCGAACCCTCGGGCGGGAGCGCCGCCGCGCTTCCCAAGCGGCGCACTATCCAGTGCACCACCGGGCCGGCCCCTAGCACTGCTCTTAACATCATTCTGGAGGTACTGGCTAATGTAATTATACAAGGGGGAAAAAGATGTAAAAACTAGGACAGGAGGAGGTAAGTTTGTAATTATTTGCAAATGATATGATTGTACTTGTATACCTGAAAGCTTAAGAGAATAAACTGAAAAACAATTATACAAATAATAAAAGAATTCAGTAAACGCATTACACAACATTAGTGCACAGCAACAGTAGATTAACAACAATTACTTAGGATATATACAAATAATGGAAAAACTTATTCAACTTACAGTGACAACAGAAAACATAAAATACCTAAGAATTAATGTAACAGGAAGTATGCAAAGTCAGTGTGAAGAAACTTGAACGAAATTTGAAAAAGAAGAAATGTGTGTCATGTTCTTTGACTGACTCACCACAATAGCAATATCAAAATAAAACCTCATGTGTTAAGACTACTGCAGGTGGACTTCTGTTATTAACAACCAAATGAAATTGATAAGAGAAACAGTCTTGTTTCATTTTCTCTTCATAATTTCATTCTCTACCCAGCCTTTTATATTACCTGGTCTTGTCTCGAGAGTTTCAGTCACGTGGGGATATACAGGCTCTCCACTGGCCAAAGACAGGCTACGGGTTAAGTGAGGCCTTTTGTGTGGTGGTCCAAGCCAAGCACATGGGCTGTCCAGATGTCGCCATCTGCTGTTCTCATGACCTGCCACCTTGAGTCCTCCTTTGCCTCACACACAAACACACACACTCACTTAGGAACCCCTCTGGACTATCCTATGTTTTATTAATCCTGTTGATACAATAATTGCTACACAGCAAAGGTATTCTCACGTTACAATAGTTAAAATAGCTTTTTATATCACCATATATCACCATAGTTAAAATAGCAATTTATATTATCTTCAGCCCGTCACCAGCCCATTCTTGGGCTATGCTGCTTTTCGACACCATTTTTACATATCTCTTATCTCCCAGGCATTTGTAGTTTTAAAAAATGCCATTGCTAATTACTACTGTCAAAGGAATTCTGTATATAATCAATAAGTGAGTCAGGTAATTTTTTGATGAGGGAGGGGAGAAAGGGAGAAGCTGCTGTTGCCATGAAACCTTCCTTGTGAGGCTAGTGGTGCGGGGTGGGATTGGGGCGGGCAATCAAGAAAATCTTCCATTCCACACCACCAACATCCTCCATGGAGGCTCTTCCCTGACTATTCCTAGAAGCCACTAGGATCTCTCTTAGCGGAAGAGGCTAAGTCTGATTTTTAGTTGTCTCTTTTTTTTTTAATCTTCTTTCTTCAGTGTCTGACACATGCTAGAAAATTCAATAAATGCCAAATCACCAAATGGATGAGATTGTGCTTTCACCAACTGCTGTGGATTGATTGTATCCCCCAAAGTCCATATATTGGAAGCTTAATCCCCACTGTTAACTGTTGAGGGTGGGAAATCCTATTATGGTAATTGAAGGGTGGGGCCTTGAAGAGATGATTAGATTGTAGGACCATGTCTAGTGAATAAATTAATAATTGCAGTCAGGGGTGTGCTTCTGAAAGCTTTAAAGGGAGAGCACGTGAGAGTCTCTCTCTTTCTGTTCCACCATTTCTGTCATGTGAGATCCCTGGGTCACTGTCACCACCACCAAGACCCTCACCAGATGTGTTTCCTGGACTTTGGACTTCTCAGCCTATGAAACTGTAAGCAATAGATTTTATTTTCTTACAAATCACCCAGTTCCAGGTATTTTGTTATAAGCAACAGAAACGGACTAATACACCAACCTACATCCTAAAGCCTAGAAAGCAGGGAGAAGCTGCTTAAAAATTCTCTAGTATGGAAGCATCACCAAGTAGGAGCATCCATTGGCATGATACAGGAGGTTTTAGCTTTGGGGCAATCATGTTTCAGGTCTCTTTCAGTGCGCAAAGTTTCCACAGCCATTCGTATTGTTAAAGTGCTCTTTCCATTACACATTTTTCCTCCCTTATTTTAAAATAAATTAAAACATTTTGGGAGGCCTCTGAAAGTATTGTGGGCCCTAGGTACAGAGCCTTCTGTGCCTAATTGACAAGTCAGTTCTGGCTGGTGCCTGGGGTACTGGTTGTTAATGTTTTGATCATCATTCCTGGGTAAAACTTACACTGTACATTGGAATTAGAAAACTGAAATGTCCATAAGCAGGCTGGGTATGAGGAATGTGTATATGTGGTGAAGTCCTGGTCAACTGGTGTGCACAACCCCCTTCCCAAGAAGGCCCTGTGGCTCACTTCAACTGGATTGTCACTCAGTGTTGCCAGACCTTACCATTTTTCAAGAAAAGCTGGAAACCCTGAGTTTTATGTAAACTCTCCCAATTATACAATGCTAGCTCAAATTTAAAAGACAAAAAATCTCCTTGATTGAGCCAAACAAAACACCTCAATCAGTACTATCTCTGGCACAACTTTGTAATTTCTGTTGAACATAGTTGCTGCACAGAGAACTGTTAAAGACAAATGGCAGGTGTAGGGACTAGAGAATCAACACATAAGTAAAAACATAAGGCATGGTTTTAGTGTGACTGTATAAAGGTAATATTAATTACAGTAAATTGTATGATTCCTACTATTTAAGCTTAGTCCCTTGGCAATAATAACTGTAAATCTAATTAAAATTTTCAGATTCAGTAAAATTCCATTTGTATTATCTTCATGCTATCTCACCCTCCTTAATTTTTAGTTTGAATAGTAGGACCAAGATTTCATGACTTAAATGTATTAAGGAGAACTCTGTTCATAATCATGATTTTGACTTTTTAAAAGTATACTTAGGGGGCTAGCTAGTTAGTCCAGTTGGTTAGAACAGGTGTAATAACACCAAGGTCAAGGGTTCAGATTGCCAAGATCAAGGGTTCAGATCCCCATGCTGGCCAGCTGGCAAAAAAAAAAAAAGAAAGAAAGAAAGAAAGAAAGAAAAGTGTGACAGGATCCAAGATTGGAAATAAATCATTTGGGTTGCAGGTACAAAGCATCATTTTATTTTAATTTCATGTATAGCACTTGTCACTTTCTGATCATTTACCTGATTGCTTACTTGTTTATTGTCTGTTCTTCTACTCCCATCCCCTCACACAAAACAGGAGGCCTAGCTTGCGGATTCCTCAGTGCTTAGCACATATTCCTTCCTGAGGGCCAGCCATGTGTCAGATCCTGTTCCGAATGCTTTCCTCACCCCCCACTCCCATCCCCACACCCACCATCCAACAGACAAAATTCTTTCTCTAGAGCTGGCTGAGATGCTTTCTCCTCTGTGAAACCCATCCCACCTCTTCATTCAGCTCCTACTCAGAATTAATTACATCTTTCAGAGTTCCCTCAGCTATTGGACCTTTTCCCCCAAGCATCAATTTAATTATGCATAGTGTCAGCTTGCTGTTTCCTTGCTTGTCTCTCCCATTCCTCATCAAATTTTAAATCATACGAAGGCAGTGTATTTTCATGTGTCTTTCGGCCTTACAACACTTTGGTCAGGTTTTTATACACAAAACGGGCCTCAAAAGTATTTTGAATAAATGAATTACAGAGAGAGGATCATGAACACCACGCCCAGTCCTCTGGGCAATCCCTTTTAAAACACAAATCTGACCACTTCAACCTGTTGAAGATCAGTCTTCAGCCTCAGAATAGAATTCTAACCCCTAAGCACAGTGGTTACCTCAGGGCCCTGTGTGAACTTGCTCCCACCCACCTCTCCAGCCTCGAACCTCCCCGCACCTGGTCTAGTAAAACTGGACTGCTTATGGTGACCTGCACTTATGGTGAAGGGCTGTACTCCTTCACGTCACAAGGCTTTTACTTCAACTACTTCCTCTGCCTGGAAAGCCCTTTCCACTTTCCTCGCCGGGCTTGCTTCGGACGTGACCTTCTCATGCAAGCTTTCCTTATGTAAACCCAAATCCTGACTAAGAACTTTTCAAAAGAAGTACAGAAAAGCTTATAGTGCTTCCCCCATTTATGTGATTAAAAATGAAAGCAATACTAAAGCGTAAAGTATAATTTTAAAAATGACACATAATTTAACAGATTTAGAATACGGTCTATATTTTCTATTTTCTCTCATTCACTGTCTCTGCATGTACCCATTTTGCAGACGCCTTAAACAGAGAGTCAACGGGGGACCCCCTCAGGGTAGGTCAGACGCTCCTCTCTGTCTCAACATTCACCATCTCAACGTGCACAGACTGCAAGTTTGCTTCTCCCACCGGGGTGTGAGCTCTCGAAGCGGCGCGGGCAGCGTCTTTGTCGATTGAGCGTCCGACCTTTTAGGTCAGTCCAGGTCTATTTTCGAGCTGTCGTAGAATCCCCTCCCCACACGGCCAATGCATTTCCCTTTTAAGAGCGGCTCCCTTCCCGCCCTAGCAACACAAGGGCTTCGCATCTATCAAGGGCTGGGGCTGGAAAAAGACTGAAATATCAACCAGCTCTGAAAGGGCAAGGAGGTTCTCTTACGCCGGGACCCAAAACGAGCCCAGGTACGGAAACTCCCAGAACCAGCGGAGTGGGCGGGGCCGGGGAAGTGACTGACGCCGGAAATCACGGGACGCAGCGTCGCCCGAATCGACTTTTTCGGCGGTCGACTACTTAGCCTTGCAGGCGCTGCTGGCGGGCTCTGCTGAGATCCGCGCTTTCGGTGCTTGACTCGCCGTGCTGCTGCCACCGCCGAAGGAGGGGCGAAGCTCAAGATGGCGGACAAAACGCCAGGCGGGTCTCAGAAGGCCAGTTCAAAGGTAATTTCTTAGAGGATTTCCTAAGTCATTGGGTCTGTCGCTGTCGTCTGGGACCTGCAGACGCTTCTGGTCTCTGAGGGGCGACTGGTGTGGAGGTCTGCGTTCCGGTAGCGGCCGGTAGGCCCAGGCGCCGCCGCACTGTGGTGCGCAGGTTGAAAGGCCTGGTGTTTCCCCTGAGTCCCAGCCTGGATTCTGCTCGAGACTGGCGTGCCCAGGGGGTCGCGGCGTGAGTAGAGCGGCCCGCGCCTGGCGTCGGAGTGAGGGCGGGACGTCAGTCGCTGTCGTCTGGGACCTGCAGACGCTTCTGGTCTCTGAGGGGCGACTGGTGTGGAGGTCTGCGTTCCGGTAGCGGCCGGTAGGCCCAGGCGCCGCCGCACTGTGGTGCGCAGGTTGAAAGGCCTGGTGTTTCCCCTGAGTCCCAGCCTGGATTCTGCTCGAGACTGGCGTGCCCAGGGGGTCGCGGCGTGAGTAGAGCGGCCCGCGCCTGGCGTCGGAGTGAGGTCGGGACGTCAGAGTGCGACCCGAAGCCGCGAAGACGCGCCCCTGTACCCCGGCGTGCTGCGCTCCGAGGCCGCCGGATAGGGCCCGGGAGAGGCGGGAATCGCTTCCCAGAGCTGAAGTTTCTGCTTCTTTCTTCCGAATTCTTTGGTGTTGGATCCCCACTGGCTTCTGGCCTCCCTCTACTTCCCTCATGCCCTCCAGAGAATAAATAACCTCTAGGTTCGCACGCTGTGAGGGGAGGACCTGTAGTAGGAGGACGCGGGGTGGGAAGTGCAGAGGCGGGAGCAGCTCTCCTTTGCGATGCTGCATAGCCAAGGTTAATGCTACAGTCTGCACGTGGTCTTTACCTCATTTCAGAGGAGGTAAAAAATGAGCACTTGTTTTGAGGTTCGAGGACTCGGGGTCTCCTTCATGTCCATGTTGTGTGTTCCATTGAAAGGAGAACTTCCATAGACTCGGAAGCTACCTAACATTATTAAATTGCACTTGAGTTTATATGGAGCCGTGTGCACGCATTGTGAAATCAGTGAGCTGTAGAAGCAGTCATTTGTAGGGTGGTTCTTATCATCAGATCTTAGTTGCCATATAGGGCGGGTCATTTACTTGTTTTCTGCTTTGAGTTTTCTAATTTCGAACACGGTGTTAAAAGTAATAGGTACTGACCTGAAGTAGTTGTTAAGCTTTTTGATGCTAATGCAAGAGGTTGTGTAACACTTAAAAGTTCTAGGACTGTTACATCTTAAAGAGTGTGTATAATTATAAGTCGGTTATCAGGAAGTTACGTTTACAGGAAAAGGGGGAGAGCCTTGCGTGTGTTCGGTGAAACATAACCCATTTTATACTTGATTTCTCAGTTTCTGATAAGTCTGAATTTTAAAGCTGTTGGTGAATGTTGTTTACCAGATAATTAGCTCGTAATTAGTAATGGCCTTACCACACATTCTTTAAGGAGAAACTATGGTAGGGGTTCAGTTATGGTTGATTTACATCATGCCCTTAACTCCATGTCAGTTACTTCCCTCCCCAGTACATTTCTCCTTCTCTTCCTTGCAGGGGAGGGAAATAGGTGGGTACCTCACTCTGCTCACTCATCTCCTCAGTAGACTCATGACAAAAACAGCTCCCACTTACTGTTGGGAGCTATTACTAAAGCTAGCTACATGCATAATAATTAACTCACAATTTTTGTTTCTCGTCAAAGTAATTTGTATCTGGTGTTTGAGGCCTGGGTTCATTGAAAATATTTCAATGTTTATGTTCAGGCTTCCTTCTAAAGTAGTACTTCATATGGTTGTGAATGTGTGGCTGTTCCCTAATAGGTCAGTTATTGGAATTTACAGTAATCTTTTCAGTTTATATTGTTTTAGATTGTTGTCTGTTGATGCTGTTAACACATTTCTTACGGATCTCTGTAAAAGGAATCAAAATATCTCAACTCAAATAGTGTTGATGTGGTTCATCCATTAATAGGGAGGCTGCATAATGTAGAAAGATTACGGATTTTGATAACAAACAAGAGACCTGGGTTCAAATCTTGACTTGGTAATTAATTATATTTTCGATAATATTCAGGCAAATTGCTCAGACTCTCAATTCCTCTTTTGTAATGTGGATATAATCCCTTTTTACAGGGTTGATATAAAGACTAAAGTAAATGCATATAAAGTGCATAATAAATCTTAGTTTCTTTCTCCTCTCCTTTTTTGTTCTTAGAGGAAATAAAAAGTATGGTACTTTTCAAAATATTAGGATAAATTTTAATTTATCATCATTAGCTGTCATAATGACTGCCCAGATTGCTGCTTTTTATTTCTAACACAAGTCCAGAATTTGTTAGAGAGAGTAGAAGATCATTTTGGCTAATACTACAGTATTTGGAATTTCTAGTCTTTGATCTCTGTGGTTTGATTTCCTTTCCTCTGGGGAGAGCAGATAAATAGCTTATATTCTACAATATGGGTGGAGTAAACAGATACTTCTGTTTGATGTTTATTTTTTTTTCTTTGGTAGTTAAAATTTCCATTGATATGGATAGGGATGCTAGACCTTGAGGACATGGAGTAAGATACTTCTGTTTGATGTTTATTTTTTTTCTTTGGTAGTTAAAATTTCCATTGATATGGATAGGGATGCTAGACCTTGAGGACAATGTTAATTTAATTTAATTTTATTATTATTATTTTTTTAAAAGATGACCAGTAAGGGGATCTTAACCCTTGACTTGGTGTTGTCAGCACCACACTCTCCCAAGTGAGCCACAGGCTGGCCCGACAATGTTTATTTTAAAATGTGCAATATACAGGATTTTTTCCATTGACAATGGAAAAATAATTAATGTCTCTTAAATATAAAATAAAGAGACTAAGTTAGGTAACCACTATAGTTCTTTCTAACTTCATTTTATGTATGTATAGTCAAATAACTTACCTTTATGCATAGTTGTCCCTAATGAAGAGACCTCCCCGATGCCCTTTTATTTTTTGTGTAATTTAAATGTTTTCGAATTAATGTAATTCAGTAAGTGTTTTAGAATTGAGCTAAAATTTTCCTATGCATTTATTCCTGTTTATCACCAGACTACAGTATTGCTTGGTGGGGGAGGGGTGTTGATGCCATGTTGTAACACTGATTTTGAGAGAGATGGAGAGCCTATAATTGTTTGCTTGTGAAATTGTTAAGCATATTTTCTTAGAATTTAATTTATAAAAATTAATTTATTAGAGGGTATAAAGAGAATGTGGTATTTTTTCCTGCATCTCCTGTGCTGGTAACATTGCTATTATAATGGAATCGTGTGTCCTGTTATTTTACTCTGTGACAGTGCCTATTTTTTGCTATATCGGTAAAAAAAAAAAAATAGAGTTAAAGAGGTGAAAATAGAAAATAGAAAATATTACTGGCTTCCTTTAAAAAAAAAAAAAAAATAGAGTTAAAGAGGTGAAAATAGAAAATAGAAAATATTACTGGCTTCCTTGGATATCCAGTGCTGAATTGTTTGGGAACTATTTTGACTCACTGAAAGTATCACTCTTAAGAAATAAGTAAAATGCAGATCTGTTCAAGGCTTGTGATCCTTAGGTATTTATTACTGTCAGTGTGCATTTTTTGTGGTACCTGAAGGTATAACGGGAAAAGCTCCAAACAAAACACAAACCTTGAAAATTAGGCTCTTCACAGTTTGCCAGTTTTAGTTTAAACTGAATGTTTATTATGGTATGGTTGTTAACTATATTAATGTATATGGTGGTTAGTGTTTTGGGTGGAATGTTGTGTTTTTGGGTGGAAGGTGTAACAGTGAACTTCCATTTTCTTGATTGGTACTTAAAAAGTGAATCTGCAGTACTTGTGCTGGAGTATGACTGTCGATATGGTTTTAAAGATAACTATTTTACTGGATTGAATTGATTTCTGAAAGTCTAGTTTTTATTTTCTTTTGGTTTTTATTCCTGAAGCTTTGTTTTCTCTGGAAAGTAAACCTAAGAAAGACACCCATTTGCCTTACTGGCAAATGAGAGAAAGGCTCATTTAATATGCAAGTTGAAGACTGACATATTAAATGAAGAAATATTAAATTGAAGACTGTCTACATCTTTTTACAAAGAGCATCATTTTTGAAATAAAAACTTGTTACAGGAAAATTAAAAACTATGATATTACAAATTATTCATCACATACTGTTGTAAGTAGTTTTAATATTTTAGTGCACAACAGTCATGTACTGGATATTTTGATGACATGACTTTTTTGTGTGTGTGTGTGTCCGGCAACGGATTGCAACCCTCAGTGTCGCGCCCGTACCGGACCGGGACCGGCAACGGGATCGCAACCCTCAGTGTTGCACCCGCACCTCGCTCAGCCAGTGAGTGGGAACCGGTCTGTATGTGGGATCCGAACCCTCAGCGGGAGCGCCGCCACGCTCCCAAGCGGCGCAACACCGAGGTGCGCCACCAGGCCGGACCGATGACATGACTTTTTTGAAAGCAAGATACATTTGCCAGTAGCACTTGAGGCTATTGATACTGTTAGATGTCTGTTCTTTGAGGAGTTAAATTTTTTCACTAGGCCCTTTCTCAGTTTAGATAAGTGACAGGACAATTCAGAGTGTACTTACAATTTTTCTTTTCTTTTCTTTTTTTTTTTTTTTCCTTTTTTCCTTTTTTTGTCTTTTTTCATGTCCGGCAATGGATCGCAACCCTCAGTGTCGCGCCTGTACCGGACCGGGACCGGCAACGGGATCGCAACCCTCAGTGTTGCACCTGTACCGGACCGGGACCGGCAACGGGATCGCAACCCTCGGTGTTGCGTCCGCACCGCGCTCAGCCAGTGAGCAGGAACCGGTTTCCACATGGGATCTGAACCCTCGGCGGGAGCGCCGCCGCGCTCCTAAACGGCGCACTCTCCAGTGCGCCACCGGGCCAGCCCTACAATTTTTCATATATTGGTAGTGTTTGGGATGTAATTAAAAAAATTTTTTTTAGGTTTATTTAACTTTATTGTAA